GACAGAACTCGTTGCCTTCCACACCTGGGCAAACGCCATTAAAGCCAACGCAAGGCGCTAGGAAATAAAAGGTAGTTAGAATTAGAAAGAAAGATAAAGATCCCAAATATTGCAATGGATGCAGCAGATTTATTTTGGTCGCTTTTGTGTCCCCAAATAGAAGATACCAAAAGCAAATCCCCAATTCTGCAGGGGTTCCCGCATTAGTCGCCTCCTATGATACATGTAGTGAGTAACAGCAGGTGCATTCTTTTCCCGATCCCCCACCTGCAGGGGCTAAGAACTGTGGAATTGGTACATATATTCTTCGGGGTGCCTTTACGAACTGCTGTTAATTTTTGAAGCGATTAGAATTTCAAGATGGCCGCCACGGGCTCCGATTGGTTAATAGCCTATACAAATAGAGATTTCGTTAACGATATCAAGAACAGCGTTGAACTTTCAATATGATATAGTGATATGCAACTGCAAACTTTTTTCTCACATATTGTTTTAGCAAAAAAATAAAACGTCTGGTTTTCGTTGGGGGTCAAAGTTCAAATGCACTATATTGGTTAACAAATTAAATTATTTTTTATCTTTTTAAGTTCTATGAGGTCAAGATCCTTGATATTTGATACGCAAGATGCTGGGATGTTAAACTATCAGGTTTGAAAAAAAATAGTTGACCATGTTTCAAAATGCTGGCATCTGATTGGCTGGGACATGTTTGTCTTCTGCTTAAGAACGGCTGCACCAATTGACTCCTTTTCTTTGTATAAGTGATATTTATTAGGTCCCAAACAAGTGTTGTTACATTTTGTGCCGATCCGTAAATGCAAGATCGCAACCCTGGCATCTGATTGGTTGGGACATTTTCGATTTCCTCTCAAGAACCGCCGCACCAATTGACTCCTTTCTTGATACACTTGATCTTTATAAGGTTTCGAACAAGTGTTGTTCCATTTCATGCCAATCCAAAAATCCAAGATTGCCGCCCTGGCATTTGATTGGCTTAGCTATTTTTGACTTCTTCTCGAGAATAGCTGAAGGAATTGACTTCTTACTTGATACAATTGATCCTAATGAGGTACTAAACAAGTGTTGTTTCATTCTGTGCCGATTCGAAAATCCAAGACGACTGGCCTGGTCCCTGATTGGCTGGGACATCTTCGTCTTCTTCTCAAGAACGGCTGCACCGATTAACCTATTAGTTGGTACGATTGATCCTTATGGGGTCTCGAACAAGTGTTGTTACATTTCGTGCCGATCCGAAAAATCCAAGATTGCCGTCCTGACATCTGATTGGTTGAGATTTTTTCGACTTCTTCTCAAGAATGGCATCACTGATTGACTTCTGACTTGGAACAATTGATCCTTATGAGGTTCGGAACAAGTGTTAAGTTTCTTGCCGATCTGAAAATCCAAATTGGTCGCCCTGATCCCTGATTGGCTGAGACATTTTCGACTTAATCTGAAGAACGGCTCAAGCGAATGACTTCAAATTTGGTATAACGATTCCTTAAGACGTCCTAAATAAGCGTTCTCAATTGTTGTGCCACTCTGAAATCTAAGATGGTCGTTCACGCCTCTTATTGGCTTAACATTTTCGACTTTTTGTCTATTTTATTACTTTTTAACAAACCGATTGCGATACTGATGGGTATAGTACGCACGTAGTTTAGGATGTTGCCTGTCGTAAAGGGAGATACATTTGGAGTAAGAGAATGTATGTGGATAAACAATGGTAGTGAATATGGTGTATGAGGATATAGGAAGTACGTGTTGTAAGTAGAATATTTATGGTGTAGGTAGATGTATGTGGTTTCAGTGTAAGAAGAGGATAAATGTGGCAACGGATATGTATGAGGTAAAGGTGGTGAGGTAAGTAATAGGTGGTGTAGGAGGGTCACTATGGCGTACCATGTAGGAGCATAAAAACGTGTAGGCGAAGTCAGTAGGCGGTTATATATATGGTTTAGGAGTACATCTCCCAAATAGGGATAAATTATATAGGTGGTGAAGAGTGTGTAGCAGGTATATGATGCTATAGTTGGTGTAGGAGAGGTAAAGATTGTGCAGATAGTGATAGAGGTGTAGAAAGTGATAAGTGATGATGAAGGGTTCATGTGGTATATGAGGGTGTTGACTGCGTAGGAGGGAATAGGTGGTGTATTCCAGTTACAGTTTGATGGTGTAGGACGGTAAATTCTTTTGAAGTGGAAAAAAATTGATGTAAGAGATAAATACGGTATAGAAAGATATAGATAGGGTAGTATGCATGTAGCAAATTTGAGATGGTAACTGTGCTAGGGAATGGTTTATTTGATGTCAGTTGGTAATGGTGGTATGTGAGGGTAAAGGTGGTGTTGGTCGACATTGGTGGTAAATTTGGTGAAGGGTGGCTCAGACAAAAAATATCGTCATTTTTAAGTGACCTATTGAGGCATGGTGACATTTAATCTATAATTCGATTTATTTTAGTTTTGTTACCCTAAGTTAAGTATTAATAACTTTTGATTAAATATAAAGAATATAAAGTATTTAAAAAAAAAACGAATGCCAGTTTTATCAGATGACAAGAAATAGAGAAAAATTAGCGGCAGCAAATACCTTCAACATTTCGGTATTTTCTTGAATGTTTTGCCAACGATATACCTTTTAAATATTTCTTTGTTTAGATTTTGCTCTCGAAGGATGTGTTTTGAGTATAAATTACCTTTTCATTTACACGTTATTGTCATTTTTTAATAATTTTCATACAGTGCTACCGAACATATTACGAATGCCTTGTTGAACATACTACTTAACTATATATAAAGTACCGAATGGTCGATAATAACTGTAATCAAATAGATATTTACATTACTAAAATTGCCGTAAGTGTTTCCGGTTTGTGAATGATTCAAATTAATATTTCTCGAATGTTTGCTTGCAACAGCAAGATTATAGTCGTAACATTAGCCTGTTAGTGATCTTTAGTTATTGATTGAAATCGAGATAATAATATACTAGATCCGTATTCAGGTGTGTTGTCTCTGGACCGACTTTATCGTCATAAGTTAGCATGCATTTAGATCCAATGCTTTTAAAACGCCTTCGCAAAAATCAATTTTCCGTGTTTGTTATATCAGGTTTGTCTGCGTTAATTCCAGAATATACTGCTTGTTCAATCGATGTTTCAATCAATATACTATACGCGGATGCGGTAAATCTCGATCGATGAAAATGTACGGTAAAGAGGTGATATTGTCAACCGGAACCTACTTGGTATATTAAATGAGGGCGAATCTATTAGTGAATATAAGTACAAATAATAACATGTTACATGTTAAGCGGGAAATTAACAATGCTCGAATATGGATATTATTGGCGAGGGTCAGATATTGTACTGGGTGAACATTTCCTGGTATACAGTGTCTACCCCGTAAACGGCTATACCTGTCACTTTTCTATGTTTCACAGATTCAATTATTTTTTCCATTGATTTTTTTCTCTAACATTAACATTTTAGCTACCTTTCTAGTTACTTGTGTGTACTATATTACACGGGGTCGCCATGGTAGTTGATTAAAAGACAAGCTTTTGTTTAATGATATGCAGCAAACACATCAATTTACAAATAAACTGCCAATACACAAGACTTGAATTTAATTTAACTGACTTTATTAGTCACATAAAGACATGTAACATGCATTTTGATTTCTTAAGGCAAATCATATATAATAAATTACTAATTCACTTGAAGTCATATTCAGGTATTAATATGATCTCATTGAGGAATATTCATATAAATTTAATGACACATGTACGTGATAATAGCGAATAGTTCTAAGGAATGTTTACAACAGGCCACTTTGAGGGATATTTTTCGAAATATCAGATATCCTAGAGGGACCCTAGCGCCCACAATCATACAATCTTCGTTTGGCAGAAGGTTCTGCTGGTGGATTTTTGAAGTTCCCAATACTTGCCGTAAACTTGATAGTAAACCCGGATGTTTAGGACAAATGACTTTATCAAAAGTGTTACATGTCAACCAAAAACATTTTTTTAATCTTTTTTTAAGAAACGGTTAAAATTTGATTTGAGGAAGCAAGGCTGTGATAAGCAGAAATCAGTTGTATTTAAATTTCGTTAGAGATATGTGGATGGTTTATTTTTTGTATATTATCTACGGATGAACATTTTTGAACCACAAGCATGTAATTTTGTGTTCTTTTAAAATGATTATTAAAATTTTATGTTTTCAAGTTTCACATTAACATTTTTCAAGTTGACAATACCTGATACAATGTAGACACTTGAAAGCTCATGTAACAATTGATTTGAAAGTATCGGAAATACCGACAGGAATCTTTTTAGCACTACGTTTCGCCATATATGTTATAGGAGTTACCCTGGCTTTGATCATAAGTATTGTACTTATTGTAATATTTAATTGGTACTTGAAATTTAGTCTACCTCTTTGTGTACGAATTATGTAATTTCTACCAATACAAAGTATGTACACGTAGGCCAATTGTGTGTACCTCGGCGTGTACGAAGTATGTGCTTTCTACCAATACAAAGTATGTAGGCAGTTTGAAAGGAAATTTTAAAAAAGATAACACTTTTCGTATACGCCCTTGTTTACAGAAGATTTTGCATAAACATGCACAAAAGCGAGAGCATGACTAACAGATAACAATAAAAAATATGCAAATCATGTAAAAATAGCCTGGTAATAACCAAAAAAATCATTACTGTTGTCATTCCCACTGCCTTTTACTGCTGTCAGCAACACTTATCGTCGTTTGATGTGATTGTATTCAGTAATGTATTCCTCAATATTTATATATCATAACACGGGCAAAAACGTAGGTGTACACAACCATTAAGTGCATCAGTAAGCTCCCATCAAGATTCTGACACTTTAAAGCTATGCAAATACACTGTTTTCTCCCATATTAAAATATAGATAAAAATGGAGCTTTAGAAAATGTTATAAACTGGATATGAAATGAAATGATGGAAATGTTGATTTAAACATATTTTATTGTCGAAACAGACAAACGGATGAGAGACAAGTTCTAACAACTAACACGCTGTTCTCCACGAATGCAGCATATGAATTACATTTACATCGCGTGACGTACTATGTACACAGAGATACATTTACAAAATAATAATATGGTAGATGTATTTTTTGTCTAAATCAACTTTATCACAAAAAGTACTTATCAAAAAAAGTATGGAAATATTCATAACAAAGAAAACAATTTTGTATCACAGGTTGCTTTTTCATCACATAGAATATACATAATGAAGTATGTACAGATATACTTTACAATATATACAATGATATATATACACGGATATATATGTATATAACATTCACTACGAATTATTATATACATACAAATATGATAAACATTTTATCATATACGTACAACAATTATAGATAAAATATTCTAGCCATAATATATTTTATATTATACAATAAAGCATTACATACAAACAAATTATCCTACATATACCATATCATTTTGTACATTCTATTAATTTATACATCCATAAGCTGTGTACATACTGACGTGTGAACCAACAATATATTATATAGAGGAAGAGAGACTGGAAGAAGGGTTCCAGTTCATGTTGGATTTATCAGTATCCTATAGAAGTTTCTGTTTAATCAAGCAATGCATTGCCGAGATCAAACGTAGATTTCAAGACAATATATACCTGTATATGTGTCTAAATCAATAAAATATATTTGCAATTCTGTGGTATTGGTTGTTTACCTACTAACGTGGTTAACTGGTATTCTGTCCATATAATGCACTTATCAAAAGTATAATATGTATTATATATTGATAATTGAAATTGTTTCTTCCAATATTCTAAGATTATTTTGCATACCTGTTTTACTGATTGGAATCATAGAGAAACTACGTTTTTCTATCAGATCAAAGATCATGTCTTAGACACAATAGTACTGTTACTTCGGTAACGACACATTTCCAACTGGTCATGCACAAGTATCTGTCGTTATTCAGGGCGTCGCCTGTTTTGACAAAGTTCCTTTAGAGTGTCTCTTTGGCATGGACATATTGTTCGTTGGAAGAGTCACTCTCACACTGTTTATAAAGTCGTTGGATGTGTCACCGCTTTTTGGGTATCGACGTGGCATCGCTAGAACTCTGCTCCGAATGTCGGGACAAAGCAAAACTAGTGCCTGTACCAGATTTGAATATCGTACTTCGGCGTGCTGCCATCTTCATCTTATTTACTGGCGCAGATGGTGTTGCATCCTGTGGAGTAGAAATAGGAAGATTAGTTCGAGGTGTATCTTCTGTTTGAGAAAGCAATTGCGGTTAGCACGTGAATGCAGTTGCAATTGGCAAGGAATGATAATTAGATTGCATACGATGATAATCTTATCAAGATGGTCGTTACGTTTTGGCCAAATCTTGCTATTAGATATATTTTGCAAAATGGCCTTGTTCTCAAAAGGATACGACGTTGATTTTAGTGCATTAAATGGTTTTGCTACCGTGCCTAGTTCACATTACTATAAATATCGTCATCGCACACCAAGTGCTTCGAAACCATTACATATGTAAATGCGAGAGCGTCGCCATATTGTCAAACAAAATCGTCAAAAATATTTATGGAACCTACAATTTAAGATTAGAAATGTAATAATGCACGTGTTTTAATAGCTTCATGAGAAGTTATTAAACATCTTTATGATGACAATAACCATAACACGTTGCCATCATGAATAAACACATAACTGCACGTTTGTACATGTATTAGGCGAACTATTCATTATACCACAGCGAATATTACAAAAATGATCTTTCATTCAATTAAATGAAATTGGTGAAACCAGATACCCTATTTATATCCCCCACATTATCCATTCAATGCAATTTTATCATTATGATTGGCAGTTAGGTAACATTAAATACATTATAAATAATATATTCCTGTATTCACTTGAAATATAAAGGATGATTCGTGTATTGTCATTATAACGATGTAAATGTTAATGTATCAATTTAAGCTGAAAGATAAATGGTGTTAATGTTAATAGATATTTATTTTTTTAAATCGCTAATCGTCTCATTATGGTAAAGTATGTTAATTAGAGTAGAACAATAATAATTGAAGTCTTTATGAATTACTTACATATTTATATGTATAATACACTTTTTTTTTTTAATATATATTGTAGTTAGTCCAAGGCTTAGAAGACTTTCAAAAAGTAAAATATCCGTGTGAACTCAAAATATGGCTATGGAATTAAACAAAATAAAGCAACTAAGTTTGTAGTCAGTGAAAGGATTTAGTGACTTTGAAAAACACAATATTGCCTCCGAACTCAATGATATTTGTTATAAAAAATTCCTTTCTTGAAATATAAAATATTCGAAAAGATATATCATATATATTTTAAAGTGAATCTTTTTAAAATATGTAAAGTTGTGTTATATATATTTGCATTAAGAACCTATTAGTGTATCCTTATTAATAAATATTAATTTTCTTGCGTTACTAATCAGAAATAAAATCATTTTGGTTTGTTTTCTTACTAATTCTGACCCCCATTCATTCCTGTATTCCGTCTTTGCGTATTGCAGAGTTATCTTCTCTTGTGAGCAGGTATTGATTGTTACGTCATTTGTTTGTGAGAAAATGACGTAACAATCAATACCTGCTCACAAGAGAAGATAACTCTGCAATACGCAAAGACGGAATACAGGAATGAATGCGCTGATAGTTAATCTGCGTATCTGTATGGTGAAATGACGTTACGTTCCGTGGCAAAAGTGTTTCATTCACATCCAATAACATCGAGTTCCCTTGCAAGCTTTAATGTTATGTTCCTTTGCTTTAATTTTGCAGTAAAATTACGTCCGATCGCTATGATTATTTTTAAAATGTATTTTCCATGTAAGCGTAAGTTATAACAAACGTCATCTAAAAAATCAGACTTATAAAAGAACAATTGGTGTAGGTAACATGACGACAGATTGCTTGTCATTGCAAACCAACCAATTAAAATGTAGCCGTCGTTATATATACACAAATATTAAGATAGTATGTGAAAATATATCCAATATACTTTATATCCCTGACATACAAACTAAGACATGTTAATGTAGATATATATTAATATGGATATATATATAAATGGTTATGACATATTTTCCACAACCAAGGATAGAAGCAGCAGGGAGGTAGAAAAAGTAAGGAGTAAAGCATGGCAATAAAATGTCTACAAAAGGTCAAAATGGTGTAGAGTTCATAACGTTCGTATTGGATCAATAATCTCATCCTAAATGCGTATATACAAAAGTATTAAAAGTAAAGAAGTCGTTGGTTACAGTTGAAGTCAATATTATTCGTATATATTACTACATCTGGCAAAAGACATTGTGCAAGTATTTCGTTATGAGCCTGGCGTTGTCTAGCAATCGTTTTTGTAAATGTAAACCATCACCAGGGAACTGATCCGAATCCATTGTCAATGCAGTGTATCTATACGACATACTGATTACGGGAAAGGGTGTTTTATACGGGAACTACTACATTCATGCACCATGGGTTTATTAAACTACATGCAACGGCGTCTAGAAGTTGAATAAGTACGGTATATTCCGATATATGATCTACAATGTTTTACCACGATTACCGCAACTGATCAAGTCTTTTTAGACGATTTGCGAACGTCATACAAGGGGTTGTTGGATTGTAGTGAGTTATAGACAGACGTCATACGCGGGACTCTGTCTATACGCCGGCTGCTAGTGGACGAAGTGCTAGCTGACACCTTAAAGGAGCTCATCCTCCTGGCCTTGGATTCCCGCCTTGTGGTCATCCTAATCTGCGGCAGGGGCTGGGTATTAAACCGTTATAACAAGTCAATAAACACAAATAAAACATCAGCACAATTCGTTAGATAGGGTTTCACAGCTCAGAGTAATATATTCAGAAATAAACAAGTCAGTGTGAAAGAAACATCAACAAAAACCATACAAAGGATACATCAACACATACATGTATAAATGTAGATTTTAAGAAATCTTTACATCAACAAACCCCCATCTAAGACGTACATAACACAAATACTAATACTTAAAAAAGACAGTGTTAGAAAATAACCTTACACACACCTTTACACAAACCAAGTTTATATATAGATGTCATGCATTTTAGGGTGAACAAAATGAGGATTCCATAGATAATGGTAAAGCCGATTATGTTAAGATAAGCCACGTAGTGGATTGAAGTAACTGCTAGTTAATGTTCCTGTTAACAAGTTTTAAACATGGTCAGTACATGGAATGACCAACAGAAAACAACTTTAATAGTTTTTATCACAATTTCATGCGAGAATGTCGTATTTTTAAGCAAATGAGGATTAGCGAATGAAAACAAATTACACAAGTTTATACATGTAAATAACTAAAGTTTAATTTTTGAATTATTAAGTTAAAATTGTTTTGATGGTTTGCACCATATATTCAATTTGAACGTTGACATGCTAAAGATGTTAAATACGTGATATTGTACGAATACAAATAAAGCGACTGTACAGCACAACTCACAAGATGATATTTATATATATATAAACACTGTATCAGTTGCTAATATACCAGTAACACTGGCAGGTGATAATAAATATCAATCATCCTGTACAGTTTTACCTCATCTAAAAATGTCAGTGATAACACGAAACAACAACAAGTCATTCCTTTAAAGGAGTATTTTGATTTTCTTGTTCGGACAAAGAAATAACCTCAAATTAACAGGAATATTACTAGTCATCATGGGACCAGTAATTGGAGAATATTTAGACAAAATTAGCGAGCAGAAATGTTTTCAAAATTTTTTATCGATCATACACGTAAAAGTTTATAAAAGCCCTTTGCTAATATTGACAATAACGATTAAACGACATAGCTGGTAATGTGTCATTTTAATACTCATGTCCCCTCGGCGATATGGATTTAACTGTCGTCAATGATAAACTACCCTTAAGGATATTTCCCGAAAGTTTATACGACTTATCGTCCGCTTGTGATGCAACACTGTCTTATTTCACCAATGAGGCATCACCATAATCAAGGAAGTTTTAGCATTTGACAAAAAGTGCAAATACATTAAAAAGTGAGCTTGACCTTGAATGAATCACCGTGTCGTTGCAATGCATATGCTATTGTGTTTCGTCGTATCTCATAGGCAACCACAACAATGAGGAAATAACGGAAATGAGATCATTTAACCTTTTGACATGAACATTCATACACAACTAAGATGGGTCTACATTAAAGAAAACAGCACTTTGTACATTGGTTTATTTTTAACATTCCTCGTTTAAAATAACGAGGAATGAGAGCACAAAGAGAACAAAGTTATGGGGAAGTTAAGTTAATGCAGGAACACGGGAAATGTCGAAAGGGGAAACAAATAAAATCAGAATGCTTCATGCGATGCGCAAAATGCCCATGTCTTGATGTGTAAATGTGGTTTGTAATGTATCGAAATCGTGACTTGAAAAAAGAGCTACTGTAAACCGCATAGTGTCAAATGCGATCATCTACAGTAAATAATTAAACTAATGAGGGTGGTACATTTTGTTAAAGGTTTTCATATAAGGATCTGAATAAATAAATATTGTTCAATGTTTTAAAGTCAGATAGCTATTTGTATTTGGTATGGTTTCGTCGTTTCACCTAGAGTGAGAATGAATATATAATTGATTGATAATATATTCGCGAGAGATAATGTGTCTAATGTCGCAAAGGAGTGAGCGATTTAACTTTGAGTTTCACATTTCCAGTCGGAGTTTAAACTATTCTATAAAAAATTGTTTGCAAAGACAAGCATTTACATATTTGCTTAGACAGAAATCATTTGTTCTTTTTCTCAAAATATTAAGCTGTTATCGATATCCTTATAGGTGTATACATTTTACAAGTTTGTATAATATACAAGCAGGGTATATTTATACGATGACTCATTCAGTGTGTGCGAGTTTCATAGATATTCATCAATTCGTTGCAAAACCTCATTACGTTTCAATAAAACTTACAAGCACTCTTGCTAATTTACCTAACGATTTAATGGAACTTCACCTTCTAAAAACGATTGGTTATACAGTATTGACGAACTGCTTATAAACAACAGGAGAATACCGAAGTGTAAAACAAAACCATTACTCGAACTTAAAATCGATAAAACTAGGCCTAAATATGAACAAAACATAGGTTTACATGGAGACCCATTAAAAGTACAAGAA